ACTGTATAGCACAGGGAAATATACTCAAGGCCTTACGGTAGCTCACAGAGAAAAAAATGTGACTATATATATGTTCATGTATAACTGAAAAATTGTGCTTTACAATGGAATTTGACACAACATTGTACAATGAGTATAAATCAATAAAAATGTTAAAAAAAAGCTGACAATACCAAATGCCAGCAAAGATATAGAACAATTAAACTCTCATACATTGCTGGTGGGAATGCAAAATGGGACATCCACTTTGGAAAACAATTTGGTAGTTTTTTATAATGTTGAATATACACTTACCATACAACTCTACAATGCTGTTCCTAGATAATTTACCCAAAAGAAATTAAATACATGTCCACACAAAAACATTTACAAGAATGTTTATAGCAGCTTTATTTATAATTGTCAAAACTTGGAAACACCTCAGAAGTCCAGTTGTATAAGCATACGGTTTGTATATATAGAAACCAAACGCACATGGAATGTGCAATGGAATGCTACTCATCCAATGAAAGGAATGTACTAGTAATATATGCAGCAACACGGATCAATCTAAAAAGCGTCATGCTAAGGGAAAAAATACACACTCAGAAAATTACATACTGTTTGATTCCCGTTATGTGACATTCTGGAAAAGGGGAAAACAAAAGGGGCAAATAACAGACAAGTAGTTGCCAGGGACTAGAGTGTGGGGTTAGTAGGTTGAATGCCAAGGATCATGGGACACTGTCAGAGGTGATCTTGATTATGGTGGTGGTTACACAATCACATATATTTGATAAAATGTATAGAACTGTATATCTGAAAAGTGTGAATTTTACTATAGGTAAATTATAGCACAACAAACAAAATAAAATATGGAAAACTGAAAAGGATAGTGTAACACCACCCTAAGTAAATATTTTTCTTTTTGCATAAAAAAAGCAGAACATCTTTTATAATCTTAAGATTAAGATTTGGCTAATAGGAGGAAATTTTGTTCTATTGTAAACCAAGAATTACAAAAACCCATTTCAAGGATTCTTACTGTTGTCACAATCTTAGGCTGTTAAAGACTTATAAGGCCTAATCCAGGAGTAGAGTTAACAATAGTTAGTGGTAAATTACCAAGTTTCTAAATTACCTTGACCTTCTCTGTTTTTCCTCTTTGTATATTGGCTGTCCATTGTGTCATAGAAGACATGGCCTGGAAATCAGAAAAACGTGATGCTACTTCAAATTTCTGGTTTAAGGTAGAAGGAAGGGAAGAAATGAAGGAGAAGGAGGAGAAAAAGGAGAAAAGAAAGAAAATATAATAGAAGTCTCAACCTCAGTCTGTCTTTACTTTGGGAATTAGATGTTCATTTTTTTGTGTCCATTTGGAAGGAAAAATCCATATTCAACAAAGTTGGCACTGCAGCCTCCTTCAACCCCTTTCAGTATTTTTAAATTTCCAAGACATCTAAGGAAATGAACAAATCATTATTTAGTTTCTGATATGAGTTTAAGTAGTTCTAATTCTCGTTCAAAGAAACTCCTCTCCTAGGATGACACCTCTGTACTGATATTTTTGTTCCTCCGACTTTCTTGTCAGGGAGTTAACCGTCAGTGAACTTTGGAGTCAGATCTCAGTTCTACCACTTCTTAGCCAGGCAGCCTTGGGCCACAGTTTTCTCATGTGTAAAATGGGATGGCAGTGCCTTTGTCCCTGGAGTTGGTGGAGGACTAAACTTAGAACACAGATTTCAGGCATTAGCACCATGCTCAGCTGAAGTTTTGAGGCACTCTGGGGTCGTTGTTTTGTCTGTGTGGGTTGGGCCACATTGTGCTCCTTTTCATGTAGGCTATCATGGAGGGCAGTGGCCGAATAAGAGCAGAATCCTACCCTGACAGCAGCACTCTGGTTATTGACGTAGCAGAAAGAGACGACTCTGGTGTTTACAACATCAGTCTGAAAAATGAAGCTGGGGAAGCACATGCAAGCATCAAGATTAAAGTTGTGGGTAAGTCCTCTGAGTCAACAAGCTTCTACAATCAAGCTGACAGGTCTAGATCCAGGGTAGACTTTGTGAGCCCTTGGTTCGCTCAGCTTTTCTGGGAAGCCAACAAAGAAACACACGGTATAGCTCTATTTTACAGATCACCGCCTATCTTTTTCCCTTTGCCACTTTGCTTGTCTGTCTTTCTCTTTTCTTTCCTTGTTTTTCCTTTTCCTTTCCTCCTCTTTCTTTTTCTTTCTCTTCTTTTTTCTTGCCTAGAGGACTAATTGCAGGAATGCGTAGCTAAAGTTAGCCATTTGGGGTTGCTGTCATTAGCTCTCCATTATTCCTTTCCAGTGCCCTAAATCACTAAAACACAATTGCTAAATAATTTCCAACATCACACTCATTGTAGAGGAATAAGATCTGCTTTGGTCCTTAGACAGCCAGCTAAGTACATTTTTCCTAATTCTGAAACCAAGTGAAATGAGTCTGGCAGATTACTCCTGTTCCCAAGTCTCATAATCTCTTCATCTCACTTCAGTTTTCCTTCAGAAACATTTCAAATTGACCAAAAACTAAGGTCACTTTATTAGGTGCTGAACTGTATTTGTAAGACATGATACCTTGCTTTGGGTTGGATTTCTACCAGTCACCATCTTGAATCTTCCAACTGATAAAAAATTGACAATAATTAGCTCTTGATTCAGTTCTGCTGGGAGTTCACTTTGTAGTTAAAAAACAAAAGCAAAAGCAAAATCACATCCAATATTTAGGCAATAATTTCTTAATTGCCATTTTCAAGGTAAAGAGCAAGAGTCTTGGGTTTCATGTGGTTCTCTAATGTGACACTGGTTGGAAGGATCTGGAGACATTATTATTTTTCTTTTTATTGGGCTCACCTCCTCTGAGTCCATATGGAGCATGACTTTGTGCCCACATTAGTTACCAAGTGCATTTTAGTAAACATAGAAAAGTAATCAGAAATAACATCCCTTCTAGGATTATCACCAAAAAACATATTTTCCTTTCTGCTCTCGCTCACTCAATTTTATTTTATTCTATTTTTTGTTTGCTACAGACATCCCTGATCCTCCAGTGGCACCGAGTGTGACAGATGTGGGAGATGACTGGTGCATCATGAACTGGGAGCCTCCTGTCTACGATGGCGGGTCCCCAATCTTAGGTAGCTGCGTGCTGGTCAGTCTGTGGAACTGCCAGTGGAGTTGGTGTCCTCTTCATGCACATTAGTACAAAGCACATTTTAAAGGATTGCATTTACAAGAAAACCTTTAAATACCCATTCAAATTGAAATATATCTGGGGATGCTCTATAAATACTTGAGATTTAAATAACTTTAATGAATATCATCTAACTGCCTGTTCTCTTTTTTGTTTGACATTTGCATTCAATATCTAACTTTGTGACAACCCTAAGTCTAACTTTGTTCTAGTCAGCAAATGCCTAGTTCCACAGAGTTATGTCTATGAAGAAATTTCTTTTAGAGTTAAATATTGAGAAGAATTTGCTTCCCCTGTGAAACAAGAATTTTTTTCTACTTGCTAATAATGAAACTCACAAAACTGGTTATTTCCCCTTTCTTACCTACATTGCTGGGACCCACAGCCACATCTATTGCTCAAATAGAGTGATTGTGTACATTTCTATGGCCTACATATCTGTGATCTGTTTTTCTCTCTTCTCTTCCTAGTACAATTAAAAAAAAATAACAGGACTCTTATTTTTACATATGTGCTATGATGTTAATATTGATATTCCTTATATTCCCACTCTCAAACAACTGATAGAATAAGATGAGTTAAAAAAAACACATACATACATACATACATGACTATTTCCCTTAGAGTGCTGAGAATATGGGAAGTTTTAAGAATTCTAATATCTGACAAAGTTAATTTTGGAGACCAAGTGAAAAAACCTCAGTTTCCATTTTGTGTCACTGCAGGATACTTCATTGAGAGGAAAAAGAAACAAAGCTCCAGATGGATGAGGCTGAATTTTGATCTCTGCAAAGAAACCACCTTTGAGCCCAAGAAGATGATTGAAGGTGTGGCCTACGAGGTCCGCATCTTTGCTGTCAATGCCGTTGGCATCTCCAAGCCCAGTATGCCCTCCAAGCCTTTTGTTCCATTGGGTGAGTCAAGAGAGGCGTGTCTTCGTCATGCAAATCATTGCCCCAGATTGTGACTGCTTCCTTCCAGCGTCTAACTGGAACAGACCTGGGAGCTTCTTAGAGTGGTGAATGAGCAGGAATTTAGAAGTGGTTAGGGGCAGTTTTCTAAGAAATTAAAAGACAACATGATCGAGTTGAATGCCTTCATAATGTAGGCCCTGGAATTTATTTCCACAATTCCAAGAACAGCTGCAGGTGGCTCCAGTTGCCACTGCCCACTGAAAACATGTAGCTGAGCCTGTTGACACAGGCCGGCTCCCATTTGTCCTTCTCAAGGTGTCACCCAGCACCGTGGTGTAAACACTATAACTACAACAAACTGAGATCAATTCAACAAAACTCTCCTGAAAACGACTGTCTATGCTGTACAATCACACCTTAAATGTCATCTGTTGAACCAAAAAAGTCAGTTCAGTAAAGGCAAGAAACAGAACATAAGATGTATCCACGATTTTATAGTCATGAAGTACGCTTTTCAATAGAAAGAAGATTTAGTACAAGAGCTTGCACTTTCAAGTTAAAAAGTCATGGGAAATTTACTCTAGATCATTAGATCTCAAACTTTGACTTTTTCCACTTCCTTGGGCCTCCCGGCCTCCCACACCAGCCTCACAAATGGAGGGGAAGTGTGGCAGCATTTCTAAAACATTTTCCATGTCTAGCAGATCCTTTCTTTATACACAGCATAGGCTCAAGGAGTCTTCATTGAATTTTATTAAGATGTGGGGCTTCTGTGTATGTTTTTATTTGTATCCTAGTTCATTTTATCACAGTTCCTCTGTCATAATTCTACAGTTAATAATTTCTTCTTTTTCACTTTCTTTTATCTCTCAAGCTGTAACCAGCCCTCCTACTCTTCTGACTGTTGACTCTGTAACTGACACCACTGTCACAATGAAGTGGCGACCCCCAGACCACATCGGTGCAGCAGGTTTAGATGGCTATGTGCTAGAGTATTGCTTTGAAGGAAGTAAGTACAACTTACTTAAAACGAATACCATCATCAATAGGTGAGCTATGCCCCCCCTTTCTTTTGTCTCTTTCTTGGGAACTCATCTCCTTCCTATTGAAAATGACAAAAAGGCAAAGATCATCTTTCTAAGATAAATAAAAAATTTAGCCTTTCTTTGATACTTGATGCTAACAAATTGAGATCTCAAAAATACCCTAGCTAGGTTCCCAGACTGGACAACACAGCTGATCCAAGACATAGGAGGAAGGGATTCTGACAAAACTTCTTGAATTGGTGGAATTAAAATGTACCAAAGCAAAATAAAAGTCTAGTTAGCGAGTTGGAAATTCTAAACTCTGTACTGATAAGAGATTAGCTGCCAACAGCGCTGCCTATTTCTGGGTATAAGAGAGACTATATATTTGACTATCTAGTGATGATTGCCTGCCTTCTTAAAGGAAAAAAATAATAATCAAGGACAACTTTCAGTGTTTAATGGAATCAGCATTAAATCCCTGAGAGTGTAAGAAATAGATTCAACACGTGGCAGTAACTTGTCTCCAAGACGTGTGTATAAAAATTTAATCACAAATTTAAAAGGGGAAGAAAAACAGGGGAAAAAATCGCTGATAGAAATAATAGAAAAACAGAAAATGATACAAGAAAGTATGGGCCAGAGTGTACCTAAAACCAAAAAAGATTTGCAATCCACTGGAAGGCTCTTGTGTTTTTTGATTTCTTACTTGTCGTGATGTGGAAATGAGTGAATAAAACGGCACCAGCTCTGGACTTGGGCTCCGCTCTAGAATTCTGGATGATGGTAGGTAAACCATCCACCAGGGAGGCTTGTTCTGATTTCCACAAATGATCGGCCAAGACTTGACATCTAAGAAAACTCTTTGGACCCCAAACTTTAACGTGGATCTTAATGTGAAGGAAAGAGTGACTACAGAGCACATATGGGAAACCAAGAATATGAACATCTCCCCAGAAGGAAAACCTCTATGGAGAAGAAACTTCTTATGAAGAGAAAACTGCAGAAAAAGAAGTCCCAGGGCCCTGGGTGGGGCCTCCATGGAAATGACCACCATTGGTCGGGAGGGTAGAAGTGGAGGGGGAAATAAAACATCCTGGTAACACTTGGTTCCACTCACATCTACTCACTGTCAGAGTGAGCGATTTTTCCAGGGCTTAGAAAGCCACTAAGCAGAACCAGTCGGGGCATTATAAGACAGTTCCCAGAGTTATCCCCGTGTGGGAGGGGGGCACTGTCACTAAGGCAACAGATGAATTCTTGAGCACTTGAGAATATGGTTTATTCCCTTTCTATTCCCCTTCCCCCATTTCAAAAAATCACGCTCTCTTATTTATATCACCTGGCCAGCAGAGTCCCCCCAATCTCAGGTGTGATGTGGCTGCTGAACACGAATCTTTTGTGTATGTATGAAACAGAGCAAATTCTTTACTCTTTTCTTTCTGATAGGTTTAAAAAGTAAGAAGATACAGCAAAATGATAAATGGCTGTCATTTTGATGTTACCCACCTTAGATAAAATACAACGAAGTGTATTTTACATAATTTTGTGTGTGGTCTGTGTAGATATATATGTATACCCGTATATACATATATATATGTACACAGTCATTATTATGTATATATTTTGCCACGTAACGTTTTGGAATTAGCTTTCTATGGAAGTTCTTTCATAACGTGTTTATCTTTCTTCTTGCAGTCTTTTCTTACTTCCTTTATGTGGCTGCCCTAGTCTTCATTCTCTTTTAATGGCTGTTGTCCTCCAGACTAATTTTCTGTAGTGTTTGATGCTTTTAGATACGTCAGGTTTTATTCTGTAAGAGAGTTCTTTCTTTTACAAGATCGTGTGTTGGTTTGGACTCTGCCTTTCTCTTGGTTTTTATTTTATTTTGTAATGCCTGCACCATTTTACTCTTCTTTGTTTTCTTTCTTCTCTCAGTTCTTTTCTTTCTTAAAAATTCTCCTCATGTATTAAATAACTTTCACGTTCCTTTACCATACCCTGGTCACCAGTTTCTTTCTGTTTCCCTCAAGCAGTTCAAATGTGATGGGATGTTTTTGTTTCTCTCTGGTCTTGTTTCGTCCTGTTTTCTCTTGAAATTTTCTCCTATCCTAGTCTTCATTCTTTCATGCACGTTTTCTCAGTCTCCTGTTTCACTTTCTCATCAACTGTCTCTTGATTATGAAAATACCAACATAGTAGCTCCCAAGCCCACCATTGGCTTACAGATGTATCTCTTTTTCAAAGTTCTAAGTAATTTTTATCCTCCACGTGCCCTCCTAGCCACCAGGATATTCTGGCTTGCTGCTCCTTCTCCCTCATACCCCTAGAAGGGTTGGAATAACAGAGGAGAAGGTTTCAAGGGAGGCCAGTTCAGTCCCCACTCCTCTGCTCTGTTCCTGATAACCTAGATGGTCATCATCCTACACCAGTGGGGTCCACCCACAAACACTCTGTGAGCCAGCAACGGCCCCTCCACCCACGCGGAAGGTGGGAACCCAGGTCGGCTCAATTTGCTTGACCAAGAGCTTGTCATGGCAACAAGGGGCTGCCTCCTGGGCTGCTGGGCCAGTTTCCATTTCCAATGGAGAACATTTTCATTTCCTGGTAAGACAGAGCTGGCCTTACCACAAGTGTTCTCACCTCCAGACTCTGATGTGTAAGCCCCACAGTGGGAGAACTGTGTTCCCAGGGGACCCACAGGTCCCTCTCGGGCTGAGGTGGCAGGGACAGGAGCAAGGGTAGACTGTTCCGCTGCGCGCTGCTCCCCTGTGGAGTCCAGGACCTGCTACTCCTTTCTCTTCAGGGTCTTGCTTTGTTCTTCTCTACCTCTTGTTCCCACAGCTGAAGGAGCCCCAGTCTCTTTTCTACTCCTCTTCTCTGTGGCAGGTGCCTCAGGGCAAAAAAAAACACAGTCTGAACAGAGCAGGCTGTGCCCCTCCTGAGGAATCCCCCCTCCTCTAATGTGTTTGGTCTCTTCCGTCACTGTCCTGAAGACAAGTATCTTTGCATACTTTGCATACTTTACTAACAGAGAATGCTGACTACTGATACGATATTCTTCTGGTGTGAAAGTGGGTGTCTGTAATTAATTTTAATGACGGATTCTCAAAGGTACATCAGCAAAACAGTCTGATGAAAATGGGGAGGCTGCATATGATCTACCAGGTAAAGTATTCTATGAAAGCTCTCAACCTTTCTTACTGTCTGCTAAAGTTTCTGGGAATGTTTCATGACTGAGCATGAAGTCCACCCACCACCCACACACAAAAAGGCCCTTAGAGATGGAGGGGGAGGGCGGGAAGTGAGTTAATAATGTGGGATCCAAGCCTTCTTTTTGTTCCCTGTGGGCATAATAATGCATAAAATGCTTTTAATGAACCTGAAATGTCTGTAAAACCTGGATGCTGGGTTTAAATTTTCTTGATATAGGTACAGCTACCAAAAGTGTTTTTAAAAAATTAGAAGTTTTGAAGGAGGTGAAAGACTGTGCCAGTTCCTTATGAGGTCGTGGCTTCTGAGCGGTGTTTCCTCTTTGCCGTGGTTAAAAGCTTCTTTTCTCCATATGTGGAGCATGATCAGATTTCCCATGCTCACAGTTGTGTCTTACAGTAATAAGCCAGCCAGATAAAACAGATTATATGACTATAAAGGTCAGTGTCTCTCATTCATAAGAACAGCATTTTCCTGTTTTTCTGAACTTAAACATGTATAGATGATTAACTATCATGGTTACATCAACTGTAAAAATACACTTTGTAAAACTGAATTGGAATAAATTTATTTAAAATTCCTGGGACATTTACTGTTGTTCAGGATGCTCTAGTATCCTGAGTAAGAGGTTTTTTAGAAATAGCAGAATCTGATTATCATTCTTCCTCTTATTTACATTAGCCATTCTAGGCCATTTTTCATTTAAATATGAAGAATGCCGAGCCATATAGTCTGAGTCCAGACCAAAATCGTATTCCCTCGAAATGATTTAATTTTGAGCAAAATACTGATTTGGAGTCGACTGTTCAACAGGATGATTTCTTTCACTAACTATCACTCCCCCTTCTTTTCTTTTCTTTTTTTAATGGAATTTAGCTGATGACTGGATAGTGGCAAACACAGAACTGATCGACAAGACCAAGTTCACCATCACAGGTCTGCCAACGGACTCAAGGATCTTTGTGCGTGTGAAGGCTGTGAATGCCGCTGGCGCCAGCGAGCCCAAGTACTACTCGCAGCCCATCCTCGTGAAGGAAATCATAGGTGGGGGCAAGGCTTTCGAAACTTTGTTCCCATTTCACATGGTTTGCTTCTTTTATTTTAACCTCTTTCTCTCTCAAAACCTACTATTTTGTTGACATTCTTTTATGGTAATATCTCTTCCTGGGAGTTAGCAACGAAAAAAATAGCCCTTTACTGGTGTAGGAAGTCAGCTTGTGGCTTATAACATGGTATGAGGAACAGAGAACCTCACCAGGTTCCGACAGTGGACAGAGAGAGAGAGAGAGAAAAGCTAGTGCAGACAATCTATACAGCAGCAAAATGGCTCTGATGGATCTGTGAAGTCAAAACCATTTTCACAATAATATGAACACATTGTTTTCCCTGTTTTGTATTTGACATCTGCACTGATGATGCAAAAGCAATGGTGCGTAAAACTGCTGATGCCTTAATCCACACCACCAAATTGTCTCATGCTTCCTGTCTTCCTCACCACCATGCACTCGCAATTAAAATAAAAGGGCCAGTTTTGCCTTGGAGTGTTCTTGATGAGGCATAAAAATTATTAATGCCTTTAAACCTTGGTTCTTGAGTACACTTTTTCCCCAGAGTCTGTGACAATGAAATGCAAAGTAGATGTAAAGCTCTCTGCTCTATA